TTCATTCCAACATACTATTTTCTCAAATGATTACCGAAACGGCGTATCGTTGCGAAGGAATGCGCTTAGGAAAAATTCGGAGCATTATCATTTTATTCTTGTTCACTAAACAAGAACCCTGGGTGCACCTGAGTGGAGTTTCTGAACGCAGTCTAGAAAACCTTGCTAAATGGTTTTATCCTCCGGAGCTAATGATGGGTCTATTAGACTCACTCAATTATTCTTATTAAAATATATTCAGTATTCGTTCTTTTCTTATACCACTTTGATTTCTTGAAATTAATTAGTGCCTTTTAACATAAATAAATCTTACAACTTTGTGCTTTCTATTTAATGACACAAGTAGATACAAACATTATTCTACCTTTTCTGTTCATTCAATGAGTAAGATAGAATTCATTCAACGATAGAATGACACTTGTATTACTAAATGAGAAACATCTAGTAATTGTGTTACAGATTTGACTTAGCTCCGGAGGCTTAAGTGAGACGAATCTCCTGTTTTACACTCGTTAGTGCGGGACAACGAAAAAAAGCAAAACATCAATGAAAAGTATTACGACAATAATATTGAGTATTACGATTACATTGAGAGTGTGGCGCAAATGCATGTACAGAGACGATGGAGATATTTGAAGAAAATTAAATGAGAAAATAGTCTTGTCGGAATTTATGATGCAAACTGAGGTGCAAACAATACCAACCTCTTCTATCATTGTATGGTCCAGGACGAGCGTCTCTACCACCGTCTCGTCCCCCCCTACCACCTCTCATTGGTCCACCTCTTCTGTCATCTCGGCGTCCTCCTCCGCCTCCGCGTGACTTTCCAGTTGATTGTTCCACGTTGATTGTTGCCCCCTTGAAGTTGGAATTGTGGAGTGCCTTGATCGCCGCAGCTGCATCCTCCTCTCGTGCCATGTGGACGAAGCCATATCGATTCATCACGTCGCATTCGGTCACCTCACCGAAGCGCAAGAACAATTGCCGCAACTCATCGTTGCGACAATTTTCCGGCAGCCGGCCAACAAATATTTTTGTTTTCCTCTGTGAAATATGAAATCACACGCAACACGCATTATTATTGCGTCGAGTATTGGTCGCCGAGAAAATCATAAGAGTTAATGCATTGTTATAGAACAAGACTACAAGATTATTATAATTTAATACAAGATTTGTATCTCAGAAATCGACCATAAATCCTTCGTAGAAAATATGGTGTCTGTTCGAGACTTGCTATTGCTCAGCTGTGTTGAAACACAATTTTACAGAATATATATGAAATTACAATAATGTAAAATATTCTGAGCATATTATTATGATCAGTTAAACTATCATGTAGTAAAATAAATAAGGATTTTAAATTCTAATTTTTGTTTTTCAATAAGATATTTATTCAACATCTTTTGTCAGAGTTGCTCATTGATTAAAAAAAAAAATATATATAATTGTTTATATGTTCTTACCGGCTGGTTAGATGACACCATCTGAAACAAATGTCCGAATTGGTTAATGGATATATTATTTTTTATAACTTATTTTAGATTAAAAAATTCTGATATATGATGTTAATAATTCGTTTATGTTAATAATTCTTTCGAACAATTATGGCATAATTCAGGCATGTCCCACAAGCAATGAAAAAAATTTCAGAGTAATAATTTATCTATTATTTTTATGTGAGCGTTTTTTATAATCATATACAATAATTCCGTTATTGCTTCATTTTGTACAACAGTAATAATAGCTATATTGTCAATATTAATGCAACCGTTGGGATTACAAAAATATTTCCAGAGCGTTATATTAAATTTATACACAAAGAACAGACAGCTATAAAATATAAAAGGTTTGTTTTTTATAACTTTACATGATATTTTTTGTATTTAAAATAAATATATATAATTAGATGTTGAAGAAAGAAAGAGAAAAGGAGAAAAGTACAAAAAAGTACATAAAAGTACAAAGCGCTTTTTATATTATCCATCTTTTCTCTTTTTCTTCTCTCTTTAACGTCTAATTATATATCTTTACTTTATTCATCTTAAATGCAGGATATATAGTGCAGATGCAAAAAAAATCGACATACAAAAAACTGGACTGAAGGAAGCAAATTGCAAGAAACATGAAAGGTTTTATTCTAACAATTTGATCTGGAGGATAAACTTGTTGGCATCAAAATTAATCCTGGAAGTACCGAGCAGTCATTATTAACCATTTCTACTTTTTAGATTAATATTATATTTCTTGTATAAAAGATAAGATTCTGAAATTTTTTTTTTTTAATAATTAATTTGGTTAAAAATATTAGGCAAATAGGAATTTGGGTATCAATTGTGCTTTTAATTTAGATCCAGCTCCACAATTATCAACTATGTATTCTTACTCTCTCTATTTGCCTCAACAATTGAAAAGAGATGAGGAATGGAATTGAAAAGAGATGAAGAATAGATTGAACTTCGATTAAGAATCAACCATGAGTCGTGGAAATGAGTCTTACAAGGGAAGTTTCACAACTGTCCGGAACCGATTTGATTCTCCATGAAATATGTTGTTAAATACGAAAATCTAAGAGACACGTATTTTTTTATACGTGCCCTAACTCATGTTTAAGGGGTGAAACACCCCCCCCTTTGGAAAAAAAAAACGGTATTTTTCTTTTGAGGCGAATATTGTCGGAAGTATAAAAAATAGAAAAAATTTTAAACAAAAGTTGTACGATTTCAAGAGTTTCAATGTTGTGAAGAAAAAAATTTTTTAATTTTCTTGTGTTTATTAACAAAAAAAAATTTAAAAAAAAAATTTTTTTTTCTATCTTTTATACACTTCGGACAATATTTGTCTCGAAAGAAAAATATCGTTTATTTTTCAAAGGGGTGTTTCACCTCTTAAACATGAGTTAGGGCACGTATAAAAAAATACATGTCTCTCATGGAGAATTAAATCGGTTCCGGACAGTGAAACTTCCCTTGTTAATGACACAAGTCGATACAAGCATCATTCTATCCTTTTTACCATTCAGAGAGTAACCAAGAACGACACTTGTGTGGACTTGTGTGTCACCAAATGGAAAGCATCTGTGTATCTTGGAACAAAATGAAAATTACAAAAATGAGCAAATTACTAGAATATTATAATTTCACTGGTCAATACCAGAATTTTAACTTTTCGAGATAATTTTCATCTCGTTTCAAGATATACAATTGACCTCCTAAACGCGCCTTATGATAATCCGGCGATTACTTTTACCTACAGAAGATCAATCATCGTCCATCAATGATCGTTAAGGACCAAAGACCTTTGAGGATTCTTGATTCTCATTTATTTTAGTTGAATCTTTCACATACTTTTCATCCTTTCTCTTTCCAATTGTATGTATATCAGTTTCATATTCATCGCAGAAAGTAGAAGGATGCGTATCATTGGACACAAGGCGCGTCTTTTAGGCGGAAGATCCCGCCTAAAAGACGCGGCCGGCTTTTTCCTTCTGCCTCTCCCACCTCGAGACTCCGAATCGTTAATTTCTTTCTTTTTTTTTCACAGCTACTTGCGCATAGCTATGATGCTTCGCCGATATCGGGAGTAAACAGAAGACAAAAAAGACGATCGCGTATCACAACGCGGTGAGGAAACGGAAGGAGAGGCAGATGGGCGAAATGGCGGTCGAAGTCGAGTCCACTTCAAGAAAAGTACAGCCAATCGTCTTCTAAGAACGATTCTCGATCGCTCGCGTCGCCCGTGACGCCGATCGTTCAATTTATTGATCCCATGAGCAGTCATAAGGCCAAGGATATGAGAGAGAGACGCGATAATGTCGATCGCACTGCAGAAAGCGGGAGAGATGGGGAAGTGTAAAGGAGAGACGGAATGTAGAGAATGAGATATTACCGTTCCAGCCGCCGACGTCTCCGTAGTAGCGTGATAACCGACAGACGTGTCCATCGATAAACCGGGGAGGGAAATGCAGAAACGAAGAAACTGAAATCGACGGTTAAACCGACGTACGAGCGAATCTCGTACACGCGAGCGTTATCACACGAGCCTTGATCACTGAATCTGTAACACGATAGACCGTGACTCACACGTTAAAAAAAAAATTGACCGAACGATACAACGCACCCGAGTGACAACGCCGAATGACGCCGATGCTCTAACGTGAGCGTTCGTCAGCGTTCGTTGTGCGAAACAGTGCTGCCAACCGTGCGATACGCCTCGTTCTCGGATCCCGCCGGCTTTCCTCGTTTCCGGTTCCACGTGGTTTTTATTTTCATGGCGCTACTTGTCGAAATGTCTTAAGCCCAGTGTCCACGATGCTAGAAATCCGTCCGAGATCTCGGATGAAGAAAGAATTGACCAATCGCATTGATCATGTGACTAAATTTGAATAGCGCTGATTGGTTGCTTCAATGACGCATTCTCTATTCCGCAGTCTTTTTCCACACCGTGTGATTTCACCCTTTCTCTCTGCGAGATCTCGGACCAATTTCTAGCATCGTAGACACTGGGCTTTAAGCCTGTATCAGACTACCGACTTTGCAGGCCGACCCGACTACCAACTCCGACTGCCGATCAATAATGGACCAATCACAATAAGACTGATTCAATGTGATTGGTCCATTATTGGCCAACAGCCAGAGTTGGCAGTCGGGTCGGCTTGCAGAGTCGGTAGTCTGATACGGGCTTTATGGCTCCTACACAGGGTGTGTTCCAAAATTCACTGTCAGCGCTGAAAATCTACAATTTACGTCACGTATACTATACATTTCCAGTACTGCCAGTGAATTTTGGAACACAGTCAAAGCTAGCTGCTCGCCGAGCAATTAAACATGATTGCTCGGTTGGATCCGCAGGTAAGAACCAATCATGCTCATTTTCTCAGCAAGCATTTGCCGGGTTGAACTCGCTCATTGTCACAACGTTGCGCATGCGCTGATGCGTTGATACGCAAAAAAAGGAGCTTGACTTTTGACTGTATATGTATGTTGTTGTATTGGTCCATTGTGTGGTGAAGCCGTGAATTTATCGTGAACGTAGGTATATCACGCAGTATCGTGAGGTTAATTCGCGCTTGTTTTTCTCGAAAAATGAAGAGATCGCCGTTGAACAATGCTGCGCATGGTGGCCGTCCGTACGGTGCAAGGCACACGCCGTACAATTGGAAGTCGCACGAGAACGCGTGCGGTAGAGGTTATCAGCCTGCGGAGGGTAACAGCTACCATCGTTTCCCCGGAAGCAATACAGGTTCGCAGCCCCACGATGACGATTTTATCCCTCTGAACGTCAGCACACCGCTGATGCGACACGACAAGTATAACACTGCTAATCGGTATAGCCCTTCCGGTGGACGCGGCAGTCCAGGCAGTGGATGGTATAACAATTATAGGGGTAATTATTACGCCACGCCAAGACCGAACAATAGGAACTCTGCCTACAAGCATTCTCCTAAACAGTTTCAAGGGCAGAAAAGAAAGGTAAAGGGCTTGATAGAGAGATGCGTTGAAAGATAGAGACTCTTCTACGTTGCAGGAGGATTTAATGATTGGTATTAAAAATTACAAGTTACTTTACTTTGTTACGTTTTTCTTTAGGGCTACAAAGGAGCGTACAGGCAGGTGAATATATCGGCGTATGTAGATATGAATTCCTTTTTGGAAGATCCCTGGGAAGATCTAGTCAAAAAATTAGACGACTCAAAAGATATAAGTAAAAGTGAAGGACCTGAGAATAAATCTCTGTCTAGTTCAAAACTGGTTGATACCGATTTGTTAGACAAATCTGAGAGCCAACTTTCAAAGGATATGAACTTGGACGATTCGCTGTGCAGTCAAGAGAGTAGAAATGAATGTTCTAAAGATACAACAACCTTTGAGACAAATACAGGTTTTAGTCAAATATCAAAAGACAACAGTTTGATAGAGTCAGAAACTGGAGATATCTGCTCTTCCAGTCAAGATTCTTTAAATGAAAGTACATGCAGTGTCAGCGACAAGATTTATGGAACCATACGAGAGAATAGTATTCATTCGAATGCATCATTAACAGATATTGAACAGAAAACTATATAACAATAACGAAAATCAGTGTATTGTAAGAAAATGCATTACAGTACATAAAAGTACATATATGAATTTGTATTCATGTATATAGATATTGTATATAAGTATGACATTGTCGAGTTAAGTGTACTGACAATCTTTTTTATGTGTATAATTCCTATTTTTTTAAAGTAGGTATATTAATAATATGACTATACAGGGTGTTTCCAAATTAAATCGCAAAACTTCGGGAGCGTGTAGAGGAGTAAAAAACTAAGAAAAAAAGTCCTATAGACATATGCTCGTTTTTGCTCCGTTTCAGAGAAATCGAAAAAAAATGTTTACATTTCTTGCCATATCTAGCACCGACATATTTGATTACATTTTCCACTTTCTGTTATGAATTTGTCAGTCGCTCTTTGAAAGCCTTTAACAGTAGATGAATTTTGTCTTTTGCAATATGCCGCGTACGTATTCTAATAGTGAATATGCTGATATGGTTTTTGTATACGGTTTCTGCAACGGTAATGCTTTAAAGGCGGTGCGAGAATATGCACGACGATTTCCAAACAGAAGAGTGCCAAACCGAAGAGTGTTTATGTTGACATTTAATAGATTGCGAGAGACTGGAACATTTTCAATTCGACAAGAAAACAACCGATTTCAAGCAGCGTTACGAAGAGATTTGCAGGCAGGGAATCGTATTTTACAACATTTTGACAATCATCCTGAGACCAGCGTTCGGAATGCGTCGGCTGTATTGGGAGTGTCACCACAAACAATTTGGCGAACTGTAAAAGGAGATAATCGCTATCCCTACCACATTCAAAAAGTGCAAAATTTATTACCTCAAGATCATTGGAACAGATTGAACTTTTGTAACTGGTACCTTCAGACATGCCACAATGATATTTTATTTCCATCTAAAATAATGTGGTCAGATGAGGC